TTATTAGTCCATGTCTTATTTTAATGATTTGAGTTATTTTTATTTAATTTTATGAATATATTATTTATAAAAGAAAATAAATTGATTCAATATTTATAACTACATCGATATTTTGACACGTCAATCCTTGTCATTGTTCTAGTATAATTGTAATAGGGAGCTAAATTCAAATATTTATAAATTAGTGCCCACAAAATTTGACAAAGTTCGATGTGGCATCAAAAGCCATACTATAATAATGCTAATAAATTATTGAAGAAATCTAAATTTGCCTTTTTCGAGAGAGAAATCGAAGGGGGCGATGTAGGAAGAGAGAGACATATCATAGGTAAGAGAGAAATTAAGAGAAACATTATTGAAGAGAGAGAGTTTTTTTTGTTCGAAGAGAAAGAGTAGGTGTAATTAAGGCTTCATTTGGGAAGAAAGATTGGGACTATTTTAGTCATAAAAAGATAAAATAGGCTTTTAAGTCCAATAAGACAAAATATCACATCCAATCCATGATCGTTTCATTCTTTCCCTCACAAAAAGTCATTCCCAAATGAGACTTTTTAGGTTCAGACTAAAATAGCCAAAAAACCATCCCACTTCCCAAACGAACCCTAAAAGAGAAATAAAATTGATGATAAGTGATGAAGTTATCGGAAGTTGTATAATTGAGAGACAAAGACAGAGGTAGAGAGAGAGAGAAAGACAGAGAAAGAGAGAGAGAGACAGTGAGAGAGAGAGAGAGAGAATTGTGACATATGGTGGATGTTGGAAGCTATGTAATTGAAAGGGACAGAAAATTAGTGATAAATTTTGGAGATAAGTAATGGAATACGTGTAAAGTGTTGATTGGCGATAAAGTGATAAAATATTCAATAAAATCTGAGGTGAAGAACAGAAAAAAACACGTGTTTGTATCTCATCCGTCAGATCGATGGTAGGCGGCCCTTTCTTTATCAAACCCATCGCTGACTGAACTTTCAAATGAAACCAGCCATTTTACTTCGGTTCAGTTCAGACCGTTCAGTTTGGTCGAACTAATCGGTGCACAACCCTATTTCTATTCCCTACTCCAACTCTTTTGAGTCAATACTCAATTGCATATAGTATGTGAGAAGGGGATTGTCTTTCATAGTATTGGTGGAGTATGTGAAATTTATTAGTACATGTCTTATTTTAACGATTTAAGTTATTTATATTTACTTTTATGAATAAATTATTTATAAAAGAAAATAAACTGATTCAATATTTATAACTACATAGATATTTTGACACGTCAATCCTTGTTACTGTTTTAGTATAATTGAAATAGGGAGCTAAATTCAAATATTTATAAATTCATGCCCACTAAATTTGACAAAGTCCAATGTGGCATCAAAAGCCATACTATAATAATGCTAATAAATTATTGAAGAAGTCTAAATTTGCCTTTTGGAGAGAGAAATCGAAGTGGGTGATATAGGAAGAGAGAGGCATATCGTAGATAAGAGAGCAGTTAAGAGAAACAATATTGAAGGCAGTGAGTTTTTTTTTTTCAGAAGAGAAAGAGTTTGTGTAATTAAGGCATCATTTGGGAAGAAAGGTTGGGAGTATTTTAGTCACAAAAAGGCAAAATAGACTTTTTAGTCCAATAAGGCAAAATATCACATCCAACCCATAATCATTTCATTCTTTCTCTCACAAAAAGTCCTTCCCAAATGAGACTTTTTAGGTTCAGACTAAAATAGCCAAAAAGCCAACCCACTTCCCAAACGAACCCCTAAAAGAGAAAGAAAATTGATGATAAGTGATGAAGTTATTGGAAGTTGTATAATTGAGAGACAAAGAGAGAGAGAGAGAGAGAGAGAGAGAGAGAGACTGAGAGAGAGAATTGGGACATATGATGGATGTTGGAAGCTATGTAATTGAAAGGGACAGAAAATTAGCGAAAAAATTTGGAGATAAGTAATGGAATACGTGTAAAGTGTTGATTGGCGATAAAGTGATAAGATATTCAATAAAATCTGAGCTGAAGACAAGAAAAAGACACGTGTTTGTATGTCATCGGTTAGATCAAGGTTGGCGACCCTTTCTTTATCAAAGCCATCGCTGACCGAACTTGCAATTTAAACCGGCCATTACACTTCGGTTCAGTTCGGGCCGATCGGTTTGGTCAGACTAATCGGTGCACAACCCTAATTCTATTCCCCACTCGAACTCTTTTTAGTCAATACTCAATTGCATATAGTATGTAAGAAGGGGATTGTCTTTCATAGTATTATTGGAGTATGTGAAATTTATTAGTCCATGTCTTATTTTAAGGATTTGAGTTATTTATATTTAATTTTATGAATATATTATTTATAAAAGAAAATAAATTGATTCAAAATTTATAACTACATCGATATTTTGACTCGTCAATCCTTGTCATTGTTCTAGTATAATTGTAATAGGGAGCTAAATTCAAATATTTATATATTAGTGCCCACAAAATTTGACAATGTCCTATGTGGCATCAAAAGTCATACTATAATAATGCTAACAAATTATGGAAGAAATCTAATTTGCCTTTTTCGAGAGAGAAATCGAAGGCGGCGATGTAGGAAGAGAGAGACATATCATAGATAAGAGAGAAATTAAGAGAAACATTATTGAAGAGAGAGAGTTTTTTTTTCCGAAGAGAAAGAGTATGTGTAATTAAGGCTTCATTTGGGAAGAAAGATTGGGACTATTTTAGTCATAAAAAGATAAACTAGGCTTTTAAGTCCAATAAGACAAAATATCACATCCAATCCATAATCGTTTCATTCTTTCCATCACAAAAAGTCATTCCCAAATGAGACTTTTTAGGTTCAGACTAAAATAGCCAAAAAACCATCCCACTTCCCAAACGAACCCTAAAAGAGAAATAAAATTGATGATAAGTGATGAAGTTATTGGAAGTTGTATAATTGAGAGACAAAGGCAGAGGTAGAGAGAGACAGAGAGACTGAGAAAGAGAGAGAGAGACAGTGAGAGAGAGATAGAGAATTGTGATATATGGTGGATATTGGAAGCTATGTAATTGAATGGGACAAAAAATTAGTGATAAAATTTGGAGATAAGTAATGGAATACGTGTAAAGTGTTGATTGGCGATAAAGTGATAAGATATTCAATAAAATCTGAGGTGAAGAACAGAAAAAAACACGTGTTTGTATCTCATCCGTCAGGTCGATGGTAGGCGGCCCTTTCTTTATCAAACCCATCGCTGACTGAACTTTCAATTGAAACCAGCCATTTTACTTCGGTTCAGTTCAGGCCGATCAGTTTGGTCTAACTAATCGGTGCACAACCCTAATTCTATTCCCTACTCCAACTCTTTTTAGTCAATACTCAAATGCATATAGTATGTGAGAAGGGGATTGTCTTTGATAGTATTGTTGGAGTATGTGAAATTTATTAGTACATGTCGTATTTTAACGATATGAGTTATTTATATTTAATTTTATGAATATATTATTTATAAAAGAAAATAAATTGATTCAATATTTATAACTATATAGATATTTTGACATGTCAATCCTTGTCATTGTTTTAGTATAATTGAAATAAGGAGCTAAATTCAAATATTTATAAATTAGTGCCCACTAAATTTGACAAAGTCCTATGTGGCATCAAAAGCCATACTATAATAATGCTAATAAATTATTGAAGAAGTCTAAATTTGCCTTTTGGAGAGAGAAATCGAAGGGGGTGATATAGGAAGAGAGAGACATATCATAGATAAGAGAGCAGTTAAGAGAAACATTATTGAAGTGAGAGAGTTTTTTTTTTTTTAAGAACCGAAAGAGTTTGTTTAATTAAGGGTTCATTTGGGAAGGAAGGCTGGGACTATTTTAGTCACAAAAAGACAAAATAGACTTTTTAATCCAATAAGACAAAATATCACATCCAACCCATAATCATTTTATTCTTTCTCTCACAAAAAGTCCTTCCCAAATGAGACTTTTTAGGTTCAAACTAAAATATCCAAAAAGCAAACCCACTTCCCAAATGAACCCTAAAAGAGAAAGAAAATTGATGATAAGTGATGAAGTTATTGGAAGTTGTATAATTGAGAGACAAAGATGGAGAGAGAGAGAGAGAGAGAGAGAGAGAGAGGGAGAGAGAGAATTGTGGTATATGATAGATGTTGGAAGCTATGTAATTGAAAGGGACAGAAAATTAGTGATAAAATTTGGAGATAAGTAATGGAATACGTGTAAAGTGTTGATTGGCAATAAAGTGATAAGATATTCAATAAAATCTGAGGTGAAGAACAGAAAAAGACACGTGTTTGTATCTCATCGGTCAGATTGATGCAGGCGGCCCTTTCTTTATCAAACCCATCGCTGACCGAACTTTCAATTTAAACTGGCCATTTCACTTTGGTTCAGTTCGGGCCGATCGGTTTTGCCGGACTAATCGGTGCACAACCCTAATTTTATTACCTACTCCAACTCCTTTTAGTCAATACTCAATTACATATAGTTTATGAGAAGGGGATTGTCTTTCATAGTATTGTTGGAGTATGTGAAATTTATTAGTACATGTCTTATTTTAACGATTTGAGTTATTTATATTTAATTTTATGAATATATTATTTATAAAAGAAAATAAATTGATTCAATATCTATAACTACATCGATATTTTGACACGTCAATCCTTGTCATTGTTTTGGGCCAAGTTTGGGAAGACTAAATAAGTGTACTTTTTGTCTTTTTAGACTAAAAAGTTGAGGTTGAAAATATGAATGTTTGGGTTAACTTTTTGACTTTTTATGGAAAAATGTGTAATAAAAAATTGTAAAAATTGATTTGTAGGAGAAAATTAGAATTGGGAGTTGTGCAGCCGTAATTGTTGACTTTTGGTGAATAGTGATAACTTTTTAACTTTTTGAGTAACTTTTTGGCTTTTTGGCTTTTTGGGGTGTTCCCAAACTTGGCCTTAGTATGATTTGTCACGCCCTCATAATAATACATAAAACCCATCACTTTAGACATGCAATGATATACGAGAAATAAATATCTTTCTATTAATCAGAGTACCTCTTGTAGAAATATCACTTGCTGCTAACAAACAAATGCCCTACGGGCTTACAACTTTCCAAGTTAACACTTGGTTACAAAAAGAGAAGAGTAGTAACTCAATACAACTTAAGCCCTTGGCTTGAATTTACATATAATACATCAAAGAAAGCAAAACAACAAAAGTAGTTTGTCTGTCTCTAGCCTCCCAAACTACATCCTTGGAAGTAGCATGCTTTCTGTACCTGAAAATGGTGTCCCATATAGGGTGAGCCACAGCCCAGTAGAAATACACTAAACCAACTATAAACAATGACTAAGATAATAGCGTTCAATGGGTGGTCCACACTTATATTCCAATTTATACCGTGTTACAGTTTCACGACAATAATGTCCACGTTACATTCACCTTTCATTTCTTATCTAATTCTCAATTCATAACTATGACCCAGAACCTGGTCAAACAACCGATATGAGACAGACACTCATATTAAGCATTTACATTTTGCCATAGATAAGCATATTAGCTATATCAATACATCAACAGATAACCATACAAATTGTATCAATACATCTACAAATAAGCATATGAGCTGTATCTGCACTTCAATAGATAAGCATATGAGCTGTATCTGCATAACTGTAGACGTCCCCGAACGCCCCGGGAGGAACGAGATCCCGTTCCGTTCATTTGGGGTCACTACAGCTCAGGACTCTCAAATTTTGTCACGGTTCTAAGTCTGAACCAAAGAGTCCAAATCCGGCAAATCGTTTTGAGAAAACTGATTTTTGAAAGAAGTGCCAAACATGGACTGCTTTGCCAGATACAGAGTCGCCACCTAAATATTTTATTTTGGGAAATTTAGGAAACCCTGACTCGGTGCCAAAAGGCCACGTGTCCGTCATCACCAAAGTTGCCTCGGCTCGGGAACTTGGGTACGATTGGGGAAGGTCACTGTGTATTACTCATCAAATTGAATAGGAGTAAGAGAGAAGTGTACTGGACTTGTTGAACCTAGGTATATACACATAGAGTGAAAGGGAAAGACCTTGAGAAATAGAGCTCAAGAAGGAGAAAGAAGATAGAAGAAGAGGAAGTGAAAAGGCAACTTGAATTGTTCATAAATTTAACAACTTAAGGTGAGAATTTGCCTTTAATTTCATGAAATTGAGATGTCATGGTTATCATCCTTTGGACATTGAGTTGAAATATAAAGGATATCATGCATACTTATGAGTTTAGTAGTGTAAATTGATGATAGGAACTCATATGGACAAATAAAGAAGGAATTGTAGAAATTTAGCTCAAGACCAACATGCATGGCATGATTCATGATATTTTGTTTATAGACATATTTTCTTGCATGATTTTCATGAGTTCTACAAGTTTCAAAGAACTATCCTCATTGATGTTGGAATTGGAAGTTTAAAATGCTTTTATAATGTCTCGGAGTCTTTGAGCAACTAAATTGGAAGAATTAGCTCAAACTATGGACATGCATGATTTTATTTTTAATCATACACACCATTCTTGCATGAGTTTTCAAGATTGAAGGGACATTCCATGAGATTTGAGGATTTGGAGCACAAAAAAATGCAAGTTTAAAGAATTTTTATGTCAACTCAAATAACTTGATCATGGCATGGAAATTGAGCTTTGTTATAAACTTATAAATCTTGTTTGAAGTTAGCAATTGTAAATTCAACATGTGTTCATGAATTTTGGGCTTTGATATATATGGTTTTGAAGGTAGATTTTGAAGAAAATGAAGTCCAAAAATAAGAGCAATTTTCGGCACATTTTAACCCAGACCGCTCGAACAGCCTAGGCCACCGCTCAAGCAACCAACCCTCTCCTGTTCCAGCTCACATTCTAAAATAATTGCACGTGTGGAGCGCACGTGCGGTAGAGGTTCTGTACGTGCGGCAAGTGCCCCCGCACGTGCGGTTGTAAGGGTAGTCCCAGTTACATTTCGGCTTCTCTTTTCTACCTCTCGGGCCTCCGTTTGCATGGTTTAAAACTGTTTTTCATGTGCATTCGCATCTTATGAACACAAATGAATTAAAGAACAAAAGTTTAACCAAACGGATAAGCAATAAATAGAAACTAAATAAGTATAGAACAAATAGAACAAACTAAATGAATAAATTATGTATTGAATCATGGTGCTTGAATTTGTTTGTTTAGGTCAGATGCCGTATCTTTAGTGCATTTTAGCACGTGTTTCAAGGAGCTCACTGTGAGTAACAATGTTGTAAAGCTATGTTTAATTGCAATTATTTTCTGATCGATTAAATGTATTATATTTTGAAATGACACTGTTTCTTGAATTAATGATGGTCCTATTTTGTAAACTGTACTCGTGGTAGCCATAGCAACTATTACTGTTATTGTTATTGCTACTGTTACAGAGATCTCTGTCAATTCCAATCTTTGGAACTACTGTTACTGTATTGATGGCCATCAACTGACTGTTCGGTCTTTAAGACCTACTGTACTGTTCTACTACGGAATGTACCACGTATGACTGCAATGATTTCATATGACACTGAAATGTATGAATACTGTTTATTGAACTGATTCTTTACCGAATTCAACTGTTTGGAATTGTTATAAAGACATCATTCATAAACCCTTTTACACATTTTTCATTCACTGGGCTTTGGCTTACCGTTTATATCTATATGTATATAGGTGATTAGGCACCGGATCGGGTTTAGCAACATCGACCTGAACCCCCTGTTTTTTCAAGCAAACTACTGTGCCTCACTGCGTGGTTCCGAGCCATCATGTGTCAAGGCTTTTTGAGTGTTTCCACTTTGCCACTTGTGATTATGATCACATGTTATACAGTTTTGTTCTAGACTTTTACTTTAACCGTTTTGTTATTGGGATTTAATTCCCTAAGTTATAGTATGTATGTACATATGTTTGGACATGAACTTATGTGAATGTCTATATATCCAAGTTTGTTTGTTCATTGAAGTCCTTACATCTCGTTGGACATTATATTTAATTATGTACAAGCTTCCGTCATTCCCTATTATGGTATTATTGTTATTACTGTTAAGCAGGCCTTTGGTAATCACGAATTACTGGCAGGTTACGATGTTAAACCTTAGGAGCGGGTTTAGGTCGTGACAATATAATTAGGGCTAGGCATAGGGTTATCCGACCCGCCCTACCCGCACACGTATGGGCGGTTTCGCAAATACAATAGGGTTTGGAATATAGGAAGTTTTAGAGTTGCTGACGGGTTGCAGGTTTGAACCGCACTTATGGATCTCATGAATAGA